TCATGGATTACCATCCAAAAAAAGGTGGAATCGTCACCAACATCAACTCTCAGAACCTAGCACTGACTGCAGTCGCAGCTAAACTCATTGCCAGCGGCTTCTGCCACTGAAAATGGCCTTACATGCTATAGAATTCCAATGGCACCTACCTTCATGAAGAAAAGGTAAACAGAGCTGAGGCAGTGCTTTAAGTGTTACCAGTGTATGCACTTCAAGAAATGCACAAAGCAATAGGGAAATGCAGTATTTACACATGTTGAGCTGTACAGCCAACCACCAATGCTGCCTACTCTGCAATGGCAAGAAAACTGCCCTGTCACCTGATTGCCCCTACAGACAGGAGGAACTTAAAATGGTAGCGAGTGCAGCCTCCAATGCTCCACGCCTGGCCAACTGGCAATCAGAAGCATTCCCTGCCCTGTCCGGCAGTACACTTCGAGCAGCTACCTCACCGCCGTCTGGCCCCTGGGCAGTGGTTGTGACCCACAACCAACCAACTTCACTACCACCAGCGTCGTCTGCAGTCACCACCACCATCACATTGCTTTATGCACTTCTCCACCTTGCCGACAAAATGACTGGCAAAGACATCAGCCTTTACATCATACCATAAACAGGCTGGTCACTGCAAATTGGCAACCGACCTGATGACCTTCTTCCCACTCTGGCAACAGCACCTGCAGCCTCACCCACAGTGTCCCATGTTCCTGCAACAGGTCCTTCATCACTGACCCCTAGTAATTCATCCCACTGCAAGACTGCCCACTCCAACAACTGAGGAACCTACCTACAGCTGATCCTGCAATTGAGCCAGCAACCCTGCCAATATCTAATCAGGAAGAGTCCTACTCTACAATCAACTCTGATGCCTCGGTGGACGTCACCAGCACACATCCACAACTGCTGACATGACAGCCGTACACTCCACACCTCGTTCAGACTACATCAAGGCCACCCCCCATCAACTTCATATGGACATGAGATGGCTGGTGGATGGAAATAATAATGGACGCAACTAAGTGCAATTATACTTTGGTGCTAAAGGACAAGATGTCCAGAGATTACAACAAGAGTTACAGGGAGGACAAGAAACTGGGTCTACCTCTTAAGTGGTATGTCGAAGCAGAGACAATTCACTGGTTGCGACACTACTGTACTATACCAAGAAATCTTCAACCCTATGTGCTACAAATGTTACCCAAACAGTAACCTCTCCAGTAACCAGCCAAATAGACGCAGGACAAAGACAGAAGAAAATGTAATAATCAGGCACCCGACACCACCAAGAAGGAAGCTGGCTAACTGAGCAAAGCAGAACCTCCTGTGTGACATCTGCCGCAAGACGTCATGTAACCTTCAAATGCCTACATATTATCGTCAGCCAGCTCTAATCCATGGTGACTGGGCCACCACCCTAACTTTTCCCCTCCACCTCACATCCCATTCAGTGCATCCTCATCCATTCTTCCATTCCCTTCTTACCAGCTCTATGGTCATGGGATTCAACAGACTCGACACTAAATACTGAACACTTTTCATATCTTTTATTACAACATGTATACACAGTCAGTGACCCAAATGAATAAATGTAAACTATCGTTATCAGTTTTTAGTTAAGCCTGGTATTTCAAAATAATTATCAAGATTCAGTTCTAAATCCTAACATTTATATAACATTGTTTGCTTATCTAAAAGTTTCTAGTATCGCTGCCTTTTAGAGATACTGCAATTCATTTAAGTGAATATTCCTGCAATTCACTATCTGCTCCAATGTATGATTCAAGCTTGTAATGATCACTTGGATTTAAGAATGAATTTCTTATGACGAAACAATTATAACTTTGTTGAACATTTGAAAAATTTAAATTATACAGTATTGTCAAATATTCCTGCATAGTTTCTCATTACAGTACATATAATTTTCTTATACTTAACATTCATGAAACTTGCAGATGCAGATAAAAATGTAAACTTTGTTAATATGACAAGACAGTAATGGTTATCAAGACCTGAGTAACAAACCAAATGCAAGCATGTGCTGTATTGCAGACTTAAAAATTACATTTTCTGATTACTAACTTACGGAATGTAAGGAGACCAACTATATTCATTCATTGATATCCAACCCTGCTGGTTATTTGATATCACAGCTCTGACAATGCTTTGGACTCGCCGATGAAACATGCAAATAAACTGCAGTTAAGTATGATTGTAGAATTGCTTATCAGCACATGGCTGCTGATTCTACCAAGTTTAGACCCTGACATGAGTAAGAAGCCGTCTGATGTGCAGAGAACATTTTCAGAAATATATTAGTAGGTGACTATTTACATGCAAGTGATATAACAACTGTTATTAGGGCACAAGAGAAGAGTGAACACACTGGCCTAAGGATCAAACAATAACAATTAAAGGGCTAAAGTGAGCCCTGATATTTAAGACGAGGCAGACAAGAGCAAAAATAAGAAATCTTTCTTATTACAGAAGTTCAGTGAAAACTAAAAGCAAACCAACGAGACAAAACTGAAGATGCAAGAATTTTTAGGAAACAATGTTCACGCCATCGCTACAGTGAGCTAATTAAAGGTTTGGACCCAGTGCAAGCCTCAGATCCGAGGCTGATTCTGCAGTTTACCCCATCTTTTTATCATAAGAATTGCATGGCAATTCTTATGATAAAATATACAAGAAATATACCTAGTTATACAATTCTTTGTTCTTAATTGTTTCATTTGTTAAGTGTGCTAATGTGTGTTCTACAGTTACATTCTCATTAGTCACAATGGTAACCCAACCATAAAACACCTTTTAGGATGGAATATTAAAAGCAATAACTAAAAATAAATTACAAACATATGATCTCACCAACATAACTGGCTATAAACATTTCCAGAAAAGTAGAAAATATTTCTATACTGTATACTTAATATAAAACTGAACATTATGACTGAGCAATTTTATGGAATATAAGTGATTTGATTTGTAATCTAAAATGCACACATGGAGAGCATTTTAAGTCTAGTTATTCTAAATATTTTTTAAACCACAGAAAGCACTTGCAAGGCAAATATTTCAGTTTCCTTTCAAATAACCATCTTGAAAGGAAAAGTTTAGTTGAAACTTGCTGGGAAATTCATAGTTTATATTTCAAAATCACAAGTTGTAAAACCAGTTGTATTGGTTTTGGAATAGAATTAATGCATTCATTCAAATTTCTTAGTAACTTTATTTTTACTATTTTAAAAACCACTATTACTATTTAAAAAACACTATTTTATATTTTCTCCATTCTTCCCATATACATTTTCAAGAGCTTCCTTAAATTCAGTAAATTTCTGATCTAGATATGGTTCCATCATATCTATTAATTTCTCTACAAAATCATCAATATTCCTAGCATTCTCAGCATAATCAACATTTGTGTGTTCAGGTAAAATTTTGTCAACTTCTAATAAATGGGTATCATCATAAACATAACTTTTAAAAAGGTTTGATAAATGCATCTCTTTTGTTTTCAGCCAAAACTGATACCTTCTAGCATCATGTGACACTCCTGATGCTCTGACATCTATATCTATAATGTCTTTATCTTCCGAATAACTGCCACCTCGAAGATATCTGAAATACAAGAAAAAGCATAGCGACAATTACTTGCATTACAATGGGGCCTCCACTTACGATGGTAATCCGTTCCCAGAGACATATCATAAGTCGAAATATCGTAAGTCGAAGCGATTTTTCCCATAAGAATTAAAGGGAATTTAATTAATCCGTTCCCCACCCTCCAAAATATTAACATACAAATACATTTTATACTGAATACAATGTTTTTTTCTAACAGTACAGTACCAAAGTGTCTCTTACCTTTATGGAGGGCTCTTGATTGTGTATGGAAGATGGTGATGAAAGGGGAGGAGGAGAGTTGTTCCTGTTTGGAAGGGGAGTCCCCTTCCATTATCACATCAGGCAGTGATGTTTTCTCCGGGGTACTCTCTCTCCTACGTTTTCCCTGAATACCACTAGGACCTAGTTGTGGTTCAGTGCTTGTTTGTCTCACTACAAATTTGTCAAGAGACATTTGTTTTTCCCTTCATTTTAACATTTGTCTGTAATGATGCATCACAGTGTCATTGAATAGGTTAAGGCAACGACCTACTGCAGCTTGATTTGGGCAAGTCGTTTCAGCAAAGGTTTGCAATTCTTCCCATGCTGCACACATTTTCTTAATCGTTGAGGAAGAGACATTCTGAACTCATGTTTCTGCTCTATGGTCATCCTTACATGGGTTTTCATATGTTGAGCTTTTCCACTAACTTTCCTGGGACTCATGGCGTGTTATATAATAATTACTTTAATGTTCAAAATGCAAAAAATCACCACAAAAGCAGAATTTCTTATAGGCGTTATCGTCACTAAGCGGGCAGCTGTAGTAAACTGAGGCAGGTCGGCCGCGTGACTGGGAACCACGTGCTCGGTCGACCCGAACGTGTACCAACAAATATCGGAAGTCGACGACACCATCGGATGTCGAGTGGCATTTTTCAATGAAATTTACATCGTAACTCGAAATTATCGTAAGTAGGGACAATCGTATGTCGAGGTGCCACTGTACAAGGTTACATAAAACTCTGCAATTGTTCCCATTACAATGATGTAAAACTTACTTAAAGAATGCCTCCTGTCCTCGTGGAGGTAGATAAATAAATTTTTTTGTATTGCGCCATGCAAACAATTCTTTCTTATCGGTAGGCACGCCACGTTGATTCTGCTGAACCTGAAAAATATTAATCTATTAAATCAGGAAAATACAATGATACTTTGTACAAAGTGGAACATGCATTTTGCAGTCCAAGAAACAAAACATCTAATGCAGTACCACATGTTTTGTCTTTTGTGTTGTATTTTGTTGAAGCGTGTAGACAAAAATCACTACACATAGATTACTATGCGCGTTTATGTACCAACTTGCCTGTGCTTACAAGACAAATTTCAGCTGCTGGGCCCCAGTCAGTCCTTCGTCTATTCCCATGTCTCCTGACCCTCTTACTGCTTATTATACCAACTCTTGAACTCCAACCCCAAGTGTGATTGGAGTTCAATCCAATGTTATAAAGTAACTGGCAAATAAACTACGCCTACCACTGAAACTCAATTTCAGAAACTCTCTGGAACATGATAAAATCCCTCAACATTGGTATCCAGTACACACTGCTGGGTACCTCAAGCAAAATGAGTTTCTTCAATATGTGATGAACTCTTAGAACTACACCATTTAATTTCAACCTGATTTTTATGATTTCATGCTACTCTATTTTTGCTAAAATATATACCATTGACTTCGTGTGTACTTGTACGCTGACTAATAGCAAGCCATTATCAAAAGGCATCAAGCCTACTAGACTATTGATCACAGTCTGTGACAACAGCAAAGTAAACAAAGTTGTTGCTGTTGTTGTTATAGATTCAGCTACTCGAACAAGTTCCAAGTAGCACGGGCTATGGTGAGCCCGTAGTGGACTTACCTGGCACAGGAGCGGTGCTGTAAAAAAAAAAAAAAAGTAAACAAGCAAAAAGGGTCTAAATATCTCGGCAGGAGGAGGAAGGCAATTTAATAGTACAGCATTGTACTAATTTTGTTATCCGCAATTCCTAGCCATCTATCTTTTCAACGGTTGTGTTATGAATAACCGGGTAGAAGCGATACGAATAAGGAATGGCATAAACCATTTAGAAAGCTCATTTATGCTTTAATTTAATACGAGATATTCAAAATAATGAACAGAAATATAACTAACGAAAAAACAAAGCAAAACGCTAAGACATCTCTATACAAGAACATTAAATTATATGAAAGCTTCAATTTTCTTTTCTTTTTTATTTTTACTTTCCTAGCTCATGCGGCTATTTACATTCAAACCTGTACCGCTTGGGCGACAGAAACAGAACTCAATCTCACCAACTGTGCCAGACCTTGTCTGGTGTCAATTAATACATGGCTCTCGTTATTCATGTGTCACCTTACACACCACGCCTCCCCAACGTGTTCTGACGCACTATACGCTGGTACGCACCCGAGAACACCCTCCTCCCGCCCCCTACACACTCCGAGGCCCCACTCCTGCCACTCCCATACAATGAGAGACTTAAGTCTCAATAAACACTTGAACTTTAACTTGAGACACTTACATTGCTCTAATTAACACAGGTATTTATACAAAGTTCATTTGTTTTTATTATTTATAATAAATAATATATTTTATGTTAACACATATGGAGGTACAATGATACACTGGTTCGTGTGCGTTACTCTCAACCCGATTTTTTCGTCCATACGCTATAGGCATGTATACTAGACAATTAAAAAACACCAATATTCTAATTTAATGGTGGTATCATTGTTGCTGTTTTATGAAAAGTGTGTGGATTAGTCAAGAGACTGAGATTGTGAGTCGAAGTAGGTTTGGGAGTTAGTCGCAATTCAGATAGGTTAGGGTAGATTATGGTATGGTAAGTTAGAGTATATTAAGTACTTTGGGGTAGGTTGGGTTATGGTAAGATGGGTTGTGTTGTATTAAGGATTTTTACGCCTGAGATGTGATTACATCGGTCTTCTTTGACGTGTCAGTAGTACACTGTGTTGAATATGGGGGTGGTTGGAGAATGTGGTTTATGTGTTTTTCAGTCAGAGTGCCAGGTCGTTGGGAGGTTTGTACAACTGGGGTTTCTTACTCTTGGTGCCGGTGGTTCGAGTTTGTGGCAAGTTAGCCTTGGTTAGTAACTTTGGTAAGGCGTGCTGCAAAGTCATTTAGGAGGTTTTCCAGCATCAGTTCAAACGCTGGATTTCCAGCAATGGTAGCTGTGTTAGGGCGGATGTCATTGTAGATGTCGATTGGGAGGGGGGGGGGGGTGTTTGTTGGGTCAGCCTCAGAGATGGGTTGGTTTACTTGGGTAAAAAAAAATTTTAGGAATCGGTCCAGCGTCTTTTCTAGTGCATTTTCAGTGCGAGTGACAAGAATTTCAACAAGATCGGGACTGTTATACGTTTTGTGGGAGAGAATTGAACTCTGGGGAGTGCAGGATTATCAGTGGCAGACATATCACGTACAAGCAAAGTAACAAAAAGGCATTAAGCCGGGAAAACTATGTAACACCATTTGGAAGTGCAGGCTAGTAAAATCCCAACTTGCATTCTGTGGATGACATTCCATCTTGCGATACAGGGATAATAGGTAAATGTAGCTATAACTTTTTGCAATAATTCTGTAACCTCTTACACTGGTATAGCTAAGGGTAACGGGAGTGCTACATGTTCGTATGCGTAGGCCCTAAGTTTATTATAAAAAATAGGCAAATTTCTATAGGTAATCTACAGTAAAGCGGGTCCTATAAGTCAGAAATAACGTCGGGGACATGAAACACGTGTACTTTAGGCTTATATCGAGTTCCTCCTCTAAGGTCAAACTGCCGACGTTTCCCAGGATGCAACCCCGCAACACTGCCGAACTCCAGGGTACATATTTCCTGCTAGGTGAAAGGAAAAGTGCCCAACCACTTCTGTCCCGACCAGGAATCAAACCCAGAGTTCCCGATTATGAGTCGAGAACGCACCCGACTGTACTATGAATCACAAGTCTGGAACCATAGGACGAAATTATGGGAAAAGTTTTTATTTACAAGGATTTGGTAAAGTGATTGTCAAACACAATAAACGTGTAATACTCCACGATATTTCCAAAGAAAGTAATTAACAAATATGTTATGGAAAAGGAAATTAGTGGAACCCCCCCCCCTTTAACCCCTCTCTGGAGGGCTCCACTTGGCGAATGGGCCGGTCCAAATCAATAGGGCCGGGATTCCTTCCCCCGTGACTCTAGAAATCCCCATTTTTTTATTTATTGTTATTATTGTAAAGTTCTTTCTTATAGACTGTAAGCTTTAACACAACTCTTCATCTTTGCCATTTCAATTTAGAGATAACGCCATCAATGGTGTCCAAGAAATGTGTATGTACATCATTCATAATGATGTGCTGCCCGAAATCTTAGCGAAGTATCCAAAATTTGCTTACTGTAGGTAATGCATGCACATGACTGTAACGCTACCGCCCAGTTGGGTGGGTGTGGAGCAAGACTAGTAACTGTGTGACTCACCATAGATGTAAAGTGCCTTGTATAGTGACTGTTGTGAGCCTCTTCCCAATAATCACAAGTCATACAAAAGACTATTGGTGTGTGTATTTGTGTAGGTGATTAAATATGTGTATGTATATATATATATATATGTACACAAGAACCAATGTAACTGCAGAAGGCCTATTGGCCCATACGAGGATACATGCATGAGTATGTGTACATGTACAGTATATATAATGTTGATAATTGTGTAACTAGCGTCAAAAATTGTTATTGCTTAGCTAAACGAACTAGAGGGTTCAGTTCCTGAACTGATTATGTGCCTCTGTAATCCTTTACACTGCCGCCCACGGGATGGGTATAGGGTGCAAAATAAAGTAAGAAATTGAATTGCCATCCTTTCCGACATCGATAACTTCCAATCTCTGCCAAATTATGAACATTGATGCACCACTGTGAGTGAGTCTTCTTTTAACATCACCACTAGTCAGTCGTCAGGAGGAAAAACCCTTCATGCAAACTGCACGTATTGCGAAGATCGACTATATGGATATCGTTTAGTATCTGTTAGTGACTGAAATAGTTGCTAGAGATATTATCTCATTTCATCTGGTCTATAATTATTGACTGGGGGGGGGGGGTCCCGGCTGTGCCTGCATTTCTCCCTCCCAACTCCCTGAAAACTGTCTTCTAAAACCCCCTTTCCTGCCTTCAACTTTCTCTGACATCTCCCCCCCCTCCCCTCCCACCGTCTCTCCATGTAACACACGGTCCCGCTCTCTCCCTTAAACCACCTCTCCATTTTCTCTCCTTCCCTTTCTTCAAACATCCCTCCTACAAAACAAACTGCAAGCAAATAAACTCCAAGAGATTGGGCCCCCCCCCATCTCATGCAGTCAATTCTATCCCATGCTCATTGGTCAAATGCTTGTAAATCCTGCAGCTTGCCCCATGTGAAGGTAAAGGTGTTTTTGAATGAAAAGCATTTACATATACATATTACGTTCAAATATTTCTGTCAGCCAAACTATGCACAAAATTATAAAATATTGTAGAACATCAATATTTACATTTAAAAAAAAAAATATTGCACATTAAAATTTATGAAAATGTAGGCTAACGATATTCCATCATAGTTGTTTAAAATTCAGCTACTGGGAACAAAAAGTTTCAAGTAGTGCGGGCTGTATGGTGAGCCTGTAGTGAACTTACCTGGCACAGGAGTGGAGCTGTAACTCGGATATTCCATCCTAATGGTCAAAGGATTCGCAGATGCAGTTTAATGCTGATAAATGTAAAGTTCTGAGGCTAGGTAATTATGATAGAGTTACAAGATACGAGCTAGATGGTGTTGAGATTGCGAAGTCGGATTGCGAAAGGGATCTGGGAGCTATGATTAGTAAGAATTTAAAACAAAAGGATCAATGCATGAATGTTCATAATTAGGCAAATAGGACACTGGGATTTATTAATCGAAGCGTTAGTAACAAGACACCGGGTGTGGTTCTTCAGCTATATCTAGCTCTGGTTAGGCCCTATTTAGGTTATGCAGATCAGTTTTGGTCGCCGTACTATAGAATGGATATAAATTCACTTGAACGTGTCCAGCGTAGGATGACCAAGTTAATTCCCCAAATTAAAAATCTTTCATGCGAAGAAAGATTAACAAAGCTTAAGTTGCATTCACTGGAAAGGCGAAGAGTTAGGGGTGACAAGATAGAGGATTACAAGTGGATGAATGGACATAGAGGGGATATTAATAGGGTATTAAAAGTATCAACAGAAGACAGAACACGAAACAATGGGTATAAATTGGATAAGTTTAGATTTAGAAAAAACTTGGGTAAATACTGGTACAGCAACAGGGTTGTTGATTTGTGGACCCAATTGCCGCATAACGTGGAGGAGGTGGGGTCCCTCGATTGTTTCAAGCGTGGGTTGGACATGTATATGAGTGGGATTGGGTGGTTATAAATAGGAGCTGCCTCATATGGGCCAATAGGCCTTCTGCAGTTACCTTTGTTCTTATGTTCTTAATACTAACTACTAATAGTTAACCTGCCATCTCATCTAATAGATAGCATAGTTATCGGAAATTATCGGAAATTACTAGACTGTCAAAATTGGGGCGTTTTATTGCCAATTAAGGCACATTAATATTGGCCTTTTCTTAACCATCAACCTAGCAACACATCCTCAGTTTATGCTTGTCTCAAATTTTAACCTACCGTGTATTTAAAATATTTCGTTAATATAAAGAAAAAAAATATATACTATAAAAAATAACTAAGATAGTTATTACTAATAACTATTCTTTTTATAGTATAAAAATATACTATAAGAAATTATATATATATATATATAACAGTGTCAGACCACGGAGGAAAATTGACACAGGAATTTCCTTAAGTACATTCGTATATTAATACATTTTCAGAAGGAGTGATTTTACAGGTCGGGTATTGGACATAAATAGGCAGGAGAGAATGGTGGAGTGAGGTGAGGTACAATACGTGGACACTGCAGACGGCCTATTGGCCCATCCGATGCAGCAACCACGCACAGGCCCAACTCATGGATAATTATAGCATAAAATAGTAAATATTTACAATGAATTAGTGAGAAATGTGTTCCAATGATCCTACTTAAATCGCCCTTTAATTGATCTATTAAAAATGGATCTAAGTTATATAAACCACTGCTAATGTTCAAATTACTTTCTTTTGTGATCTGTATCAAAGCAGATTCAATTATTTTTCTGTTATAGGTGCTTTTACAATTCGTTACTGAAGAAGCCATCTCCCAATCAATTTGGTGAGCATCTTCTGACAGATGAACAAACAAAGCATTAGACAATTGGCCATGTCTTACAGAGTAT